GCAGCCAGGCAACGGCCAGCTGCCTTGACCTCAGCCTTCATGCGCTGTCTCGTGATTTGTGTGTCCAACTCTGGATGACGGTACTTTTTGACGAAGCGTTCCTTTATTAGACACGATTCACCCTTGAATTCACCAAGGTAAAGACGACCCTCGGCCCCTTGTTTTAGTATTTCTAATGCCATATTTAATTCCTAAAATAATGTAAACACCGGTGATATGCAATTGCGAGTTCCAAGTTGTTTGCCATTCTCCACGAAATTAGCCATTCACAGTGCAACAGCGACATTTGACAAAGCAACAGCTGATTTTGTTTTGATATTTGCACACACCAATCGCCAGCTTCAACAGTGAATCATCTTTTTGAAAAACCCTACCCGTTCGTTTAGACAGTAAAAATTGAAATATAAAATGTTTAACAATATATTTGGCAAAAAACCCACCGTAAAGGAACAGCAACGCGAAAATGATCGCAGCCTGCGCAAAGCGACACGCGACATTGAACGAGAGCGTCGAAAACTGGAGGATGAGGAGAAAAAACTAGAAGCTGAGATCAGACGCAATGCGGCTGCTGGAAACAACGATGCATGCAAAATTCTGGCCAAGCAACTGATCGAGATTCGCAAGCAAAAATCGCGCAGTTACGCTGCAGCAGGCAAAATACAATCCATAGGCTATCAGAACAAGAACATGGGCGCAAATATAGCTCTGGGCGAGGCAATGGGCACCACAGCCAAGACTATGGCTGGCATGAACAAGGTGATGCGCCCAGAGGCTATAGCAGGCACTGTGCGTGACTTCCAGCAAGCAAATATGCGCATGGAAATGACAGACGAAATGATAAACGATACGCTAGACGACATGCTGACTGAATCTGGTGATGAGGAGGAATCTAACGATGTGGTCAACAAGGTGCTCGACGAGATTGGCATTGAGATCTCTGGTAAAATGGCCAACATACCAGCCACAGGATCCAGCGAATTCGAGACTAGCGGCAAGCGCACCGAAAAGGACATTGCAGATCAGTTGGCCAAACTGAGATCTTCCTAGTTATATTAATGTGCTTAATCCCTCCCACAGCTGTACTTGGAAATTTTGTAAACACAATTGTTATTCATAGGCCATAAGACATAAGAACATAAGTATATGTACATGCATCACTCTAAAGTCGAGCGTTCATACCCCCCGAGGCAACTACAGACTCGCCTGTTATATAGCCAGCATCCTCCGATACAAGGAAGGACACAACGCCAGCCATTTCCTCACTTGTGCCCAGACGACCCATGGGTATTTTGCTAAGCGCCGCCTCATTGGCAGATTCGTTCTCGTACAACGCCTTGGAGAATTTAGTGCGGATGATACCAGGTGCCAGGCAATTAACGCGTATGCCCTCAGGCGCTAAATCCTTGGCCGCTGCCTTGGTCAGTCCAATTAGCGCCGTCTTGCTCACTGAGTATGCGCCCAGCAGCTATTGAAAAGGTTACAGATTAAGATATGATAAATGCTGGGTAAGCTTGTAGACAGCTAACCTCAAATGCATCGTAGCCGGCAATGGACGAGACAAACACTATGCTAGAGCCCTTCTCCTGTCGTAGATATGGGAGAGCTTCTTTGGCCAAAAGATAAGAGCTCTTTACATTCACATCAAAGATCTTGTCCCACACCTTCTCATCACATTCCAGAACACCGCCCACGGCAGGATTGGTAGCGGCATTACTAACCAATATGTTGAGCTTGCCATATTTGCTGATGGTTTCCTCGAAGAGCTGCTTACGATCTTGCGGCTCGCTCACGTGGCACTTCAGGCCATGCACGTTAAGATTCAGTTTACGCAGCTCGGCAAGCGCATTGTCCACATTCTTCTGCTTTCGACTGCTGATCACGACGGCTGCACCATCCTCAGCCAAACGCTTGGCAATCGCAAAGCCAATGCTGCAAGCGCCATAAATCCACTACAATTAATATGCAGTAAGGGACAATGTCGCTGAGAACTCACCCATCTGTGGAGGCGGTAACCACCGCAACTTTGCCTGCTAAACGCTTCATGCTGCTAACGCTCGAACTTTGACTGGCACTGGCACTGGACAATCGTTTATGGCACAGATTGTGGTTAACGAGTTTGTTACTATTGTTGTTGCTTTTATGTTGATTAAGATTTCTAATCGATGTTGTGCTTTGCATGGTACTTTGGACTTTGCCTCCAGACAAACTGGCTGCAGCGATCAAATTGAGCTTTGGCGCCTTGCTAGCCAATTGCTTGCCCAGATGCAACATATGTAGGCTGAGTTTTGAATTCAACTGGGGTTGACAAGGATCGGCAAATTGATTTTTCTCACTTCGACTATTTGTGCGATTCCTATACGACTAAGCCAAGTAGTTCCAATTGGAACGTGCTTTGCTTGATGCCCAATCTTGTTGCCATTCACGGCGAAGTGAAAGCTTTTTTTGGCGCACTTTTTAAATGAGGTCTACATTTCAATCACATTTGTTTCTTTCTTAAATTAAGTTTTAATAAAAAGTTAACAAACCTATCTTTGCCAACGGCTCAAACAAAAGTGCTTCTGTGTATTATTTATCCAATAAGAGCTACTGGAATAATACCACCTGACCAGCTCGACACCGTCTGGTGCATAGACCCCAATTGGTAGATAAGAATGTTGAAATGAAAATCTCCAAAAAAAAAAAAAAACTTAAATAAACATTGCCTGCACGCATTAAATATGATTCGCGATGTCGTAACACAATAAACAAAGATAAATATGAAAAAACAAGTAGGAACCGCAACACTGAAAAAAAAATAAGAATCATTGACGAATAACCCACCAACAACAGCACAAATCATATCCAGAAATAACAACAACCACAATGTTTACTCTCAGCTGAAAGTGCAAATTATAGTTCGCCGGAGCGGCTTTAGTTGTTTAGTTGTTTTGCTCTACTCCATTGCTCTACTCCATTCCCAGCAGTTAGTCGCTCCGTGTCGTTCCAAGTGTGCAAGCCGCTTTTTCTCGAGCTCTGGAGCAGGGTATACGGCACGCGGTTTACGGTCTTCGCAAAGCATGTGATATAACCAAATAACTCTGCCAGTACGATTCACAAGATTTGGAAGATGAGCAGCCAAGCAGACGAAATTGCGCCAGCTGCGCCCGCACCAAAGGACTTCAAGGCACCCGTATTTCAGGACAACAAACTTGTGCTCTACTTTCATCCGTACAACTTTTACTCGCAAAAAGTTAGTTGCCCCAACTAAATCATGTGATCATGTTTGAGACAATTTTTTGATATTACAAAACGCGCAAATGGCGCGAAATTACAAAAGTAATCGTCATTATTGTGATTACTGTTCAATGTTATTTTGTCAGCTATGACTAGCTAGAGTTTTTAAATAGCATCCCACCCACCACCCACCAGGTGCCCCATCGATTTCAGGTGCAGTCGTGCGTGACGGGGGCGTATGCATAATATCTGTTGGGCTGCCAACACAAGTAGATTTCATTAGTTTTGAGTTTTTGTTCTTTTCCGAATAGATAATATAACTTAACTGTTTGCCTTGATGCAGGTGCTAATGAAGCGTTTGAACACGTAAGAAACGTAGTGATAAATAAACAAAACTGAGAAAGAGTATAAATAGTGCAAGCAAACAGTGTGAGCGAGCTACAAGTCATTAGGATTAATGATTGTACATTATTCGCAGACTTGCGGTTCGCCTAGCTTAATCAATATGTTTTTTACATATTCTTTGCTAGGTTTTGCTGGTGCTCTATGAGAAAAATGTTGACTTTACACCCTACATAGTCGATCTGTGCAACGGCGAACAGTATTCCAATTGGTTCCTAAATCTGAATCCTAAGGGCGATGTGCCCGTGCTGCAGGATGGCGCCTTTATCATACCCAACTCGCCGCACATCATCAGCTATGTGGAGACCAAGTTCCGTGGAGGTAAGTAGTTCTTTCCGATATAATTGGCCAATTCAAGTCAATTTCTTTGATCACAGAGCAGCATCCGCTGCTGAAGCCATACCCACCAGATTCCCTACAATTCGATCAGATGATGACATTTGAACGCGCATTGTCACGCCTGCCCGTGGGCGCACTCAGTCTGGGCTCCTTTATCCACGACGACCTCAAGCTGGTGCCTAAGGCTCCCTTCATTGGACCCGTACGGCAATCCTGCCTGAGTGAGCAGTATTAATGTGCTTGAGTGCTGTTCCAATTGAATTATCCGTTGTGTTTTAACCCGCAGAGAACAATGACAAGGTCATGGAATTGCTGCGTCACTCCGTGGATGAATTGGACTCCAATAACACCGCATTACAGCAAAAGCTAGAGATTCAGTTACGTCGCAGGAAACTTGTCGCCTCGCGTGTAGATTTCCAGCGTGTGCTGGATGCGGTGCGCAATGTGCTGCAATATGTGGAGCAGGAACTGTCCAAGCAAACGCCACGCAACGAGTGGCTGACTGGCGATGAGATCACCTTGGCTGACGTCAGCTTGGGCCTGCTGCTGCAGCGCCTCTATCAGCTGGGCTTCGAGAACTATTATTGGGGCTTCGGCAAGTTGCCGCAGGTGGAGGGCTACTTTTTGCGGTTCAAGCAGCGTGCCTCATACCACAAGCTGATGCCCAGCAGCAATTTCGAAATACTGAAGGAAATGTGGAGTATGACGCCTTCCAATTACAAGCTGGGAGCAACTGCCGGTTTCTTGGGTATGGCCATGTTCGCAGCCTTTGCGCATAAGTAGCCGGCCAGATTTGTTAACAATCATTTTATTGTTGTTGTTAAAGTTGGGCACATATAAACACAAACAAAAGAACGCTTAAGTCTACGTGGTAACAATGCAAGATCCGGAAGGCAGAAACAGTCAGCGAGAGAATGAGAGAGGAAAGAGAGAGAGAGAGAGAGAGAGCGCGGAGCTGCGATTGCCCCATGAACTATGAACTATGAACAGCGCACAGTGCCAAAGTGCGAGCCTCAAGCTGCTGATATCATTGTATATAAAAATCGTTTGGTATTAAGTTCTATTTGCTACAAAAGATTTTACTAGCCACTACCGGTTAAAAAAGATTCGCTAACCTTATTCAATTCCTGTTTCCTGTTGCTGGTTTAGTCTAAGACTTGGGTTCAGCTTTCCACACCTGCCTGCTGATGTTCCCGCTTCTGCTGCTCCGCCTGCAGCAGGCTGGCCGCCGCACTCGCTGCCTTCACGTTGGTAAACAAGGGCATGCCCATGAAAGTAGGTATTTGCTGCTGCGCCGACGACGACTGACCACCTACCTTGCCCGCCGACCACTGGCTACTGCCATTGGGATTGGCTTTCAATCCACTAGATGACGCCTGGTTGTTAGCAGATGGTGTGCAGGTGTGTAAATGCGTGGGTCTCTTGAAAGGGACACTCTCGCGCTGATAGTAGAAGACGCCATTGCCGGGCGCCTCGGGCAACAGGCCATTGGTTGGATACCAGAAGCGATACGTAAAGTACCACGTTAGAATGGCAATGATGCCGCTGATAACTTTCTCAATCATGCGATGATAGTACAACATCGTGCCCACCAACATTATGTCCCAGAGCAGCTGCAGAGCAGCCATCCCAATGAACAGGGTGCGAATGATGGGCGTCAGTCGTGTATAGAGAAACTGTAGGCTCCGCATTTGCTCATCGTTCAGGCCGCGCAACGGATTGCTTCCCGTTTTCTCCGATACGCTGCGATTGTGCAACTCGTTGCGTAGGTGCTCCTTGATGGTTTCCCACTTGATAATAGGACGCGCCTCCTCGATTAGCACCAGGCTAGAGTGTATTAGTATAAACGCATGGCCTGATATGTCAAAACCCTGCCACAAATGGCCCGCCCTCAGGCAGCTGGACTTGCTCTGGAAGCCTGCAAGAAAGACAATCTTAAGTAACAGTTTTAACATTATTTAGCTCGCAATATTACCCTTGGTAGTACAACGACCATAGGAAGTTTCCACAATGTTGAAGAGCTTTGTCCAGAAGAACCAAAAGAATGTGGCTATTACAATACGTGGGAAGTGATGCCTCAGCATGCGTTTCATGTCGCCGCAGGTGATTGTATAGGCGGAGAGCACCGCAAAGGGCACGGCGAACAACAGAGTCCAGCCCCAGCCCACCTTGACGAAGTACAGATTAAACAGGTTGTCGGAGCGGGCAAAGTATGTCTTGGGAAATGGCAAGAAGTCGCCTATGAGCGAGATGATGAATAAGCTGCCCAAATAGAGGGCCACTTTCAGGTCCGTGTTGAAGAATATCGTCTTTTTGCATAGATGTATGACGCCCATGACTAGAATCTCACGTATGCTGGTGGGTGCAGCGGTTGGACGCGTGCCTCGCGCCTCTGATCGGGTTATATCTGGGCCACCAGGTCGAAAGTTCATATTGGAGCCGCTACTTTGTCCGGGTGCAAGATTGGGACGCAGCGGACGCCGTTTTGTGGCCATAATGATGCGGCGATTTTGTTTACTACGTTGTGTTTGATGTTTTTTGCACTTTGCCAATGTGTTGTACACTACGTTGTTTTATTGCTACCGTTTTTGGTTATGGTAAAGGGTTTGTCAAAAGTGAAAGCGGAACCAAAACGAAAGGTGTCAAAGTTCAAATTGCATTATATTATATTACATATAATTTAGTTTCACCAAACAGTTTGTGTTTTTAATCATTACTTTGGTTAAGTTTCACAGAATTTTTCACTTAGCACAAGGCAGTTCCCGTTGTTCTTTTGCTCTATTCTTGTTCGATGCATATTTTAGCCAAAATATGCAGCTGTTGCTTCAGCCAGAAAATAGAACACCAGACGACACGCGTTGAACTGCGAATGGCAGCGTTTACATGTGAACTGCAATTCCGATCAGCTGACTGTGATTCTGATCCGTTTCTGTTATTAATTACCGGCTCAGCTGGGTACACATCGCTCTCGCATGTAATTAAGACCGCAATTAAATTGGCATGTACAACTCGGCCAAAAAACTACAACGTGTGCTCACAGCACGCGAGATACGCAAAATATTCATCGATTACTTTACGGTCAATCATGAGCACAAATTTGTGCGCTCCAGTCCGGTTGTGCCGTTCTGCGATCCAACCGTCGCCTTTGTGAATGCGGGCATGAACCAGGTGAATATCAGGTACATACACTTGATTAATCCATTGTGCCCTAATCAGTCTCGTTGCTTTAGTTTAAAACAGTTTTTCTGGGCACAGCTGCTGCACCGTATAAACGCGTCGTCAATTCTCAGAAATGTGTGCGAGTCGGTGGCAAGCACAATGATCTGTCTGTGGTGGGTCAGGATGGCTACCATCACACGTTCTTCGAGATGCTGGGCAACTGGTCGTTTGGCGATTATTTTAAGGTACGTGCATTTGCCACTTCAGCTTTGCATTACTCCAGCAAACTTCTTGCAGCGTGAAGCTTGTGCAATGGCATTGGAGCTGCTGCGCGGCCCCTACAACATTGATCCCTCGCGCTTGTATGTCACCTACTTTGCCGGCGACAAACTGCTGGGCATACCCGCCGATCTGGAGTGCTTTGAGATTTGGCGTAGCTTGGGGTATGCGTAAATTGGTTACATAATGCAATTACAAATTTTATCGGTATGTTTGCTTTGCAGATTTCCTGCTGAACGGGTCTTGCCATTCGGCTGCAAGGACAACTTTTGGGAAATGGGCACAACAGGCCCTTGTGGACCCTGCACTGAAATACACATTGATCATAGACCGGGCTCTGGACCTAACAGCGTGGAGCAGCGCGCAAAGTTGGTCAACGCGGGGCGTGCAGATCTCACCGAGCTTTGGAATTTGGTGTTTATACAGTATAATCGGTTAGTAGCTAAAGCTAGTGCAGTAAGAAATCTAATATTTAATTGAATACCTGATATTTGCAGCAATGCAGATGGCAGCATAACACAGCTGCCCGCTCGGCACGTCGACACGGGCATGGGCTTTGAGCGTTTAGCTGCGCTTCTTCAAAACAAGTCGTCCAATTACGATACCGATCTCTTTACGCCGCTCTTCGATGGCATACATAGTGTAATTTGATAGTGGTAAATAATTGGTTGGCTCAAATTTAACATTTGTTTCTTAATTAGCTTTCCAAAGCACCTGTGTATGGAGGCAGCTTTCCAGATGCCCAGAATTCTGCTTTGCTCGATACAAGCTACAGAATACTTGCCGATCATGCGCGCATGGTCACCGCTTGCTTGGCCGATGGCATGCTGCCGGATCAAAAGTAAGTTGGAGCGGAGCCTAATGGAATTCCTTCTTAATTCTATATTCCACAAGCACAGTCAAAAATTGCGTCGTGTACTGCGAAAGGCACTTAGCATCTCGGAGCAAGTTTTTGGGCACGAAAAGCTGCTCTCTCAACTGGTGCCCATTGTAGTTGAGACGCTGGGCGAGGCTTATCCCGAGATGTCGACCAAACAGCAGGCTGTTATTGAGTTGATATTGCACGAGCAGGAGGTGTACAAAAACTTGCGGGAAAGCTCGTCCAAGGCTTTTGCTGAGGTGCTTACAGAGTTTCCCAAACTGGATGACATTGATCTTATGGAATGTCCTGGTTTTGTGCCCGCCTACCGCGAGTTTCAAGTACAGCGCTCAAATTTCCCCAACAACACGATCCCAGGTGACTTCCTGTATAAATTGACAGACACTTATGGTCTGACCGAAGAGAGCTTCCTTAAGCTGGCCGAGCTTGAGAACATGAACTGTGATTTGGATCGGTATCGTGCCGAATTGGCCCTGGCCAAGCTTAAAACCAAGGAACCTCAGCGCAGCAGTGGCGACTACGACTTGGCACTGCAGCAGCGCATCGCAGACGCACAAGCGCAGCTTACGAAGCGTCTGGCGCCGACTGATAACAGTCACAAATATATTTACAGTTATGATGAAGCAAATGAAACCTATTCGATTCCCACGGTAACAAGTCGCGTGCTGGGCATGCTACAAAATGACGTGGAAGTGTCACGCACCCGCCTAGAAGAGCCCTTGAATACGCTCTCCATTGTCACAGCTGCAAGCAATTTCTACTACGAATCAGGCGGTCAGCAGTCAGATCTTGGCAAACTGCTGGTGCGGAACACACACAAACCAGAGGAGCCTCATCAGTTGGAAGTGGTAGGCGTAAAGCATCTCAATGATTGCGTGGTGCATGTTTGTCGTCCGATCACATCCGCCGATGATTTCGAGCTGGCTGTCGGGGATGAGGTACAGCTTGAAGTAGATGCCATGCAGCGGCAGCTAAATACGTGCCATCACACGGGTTAGTACTAAGAAGCAACAGAAACACGATAGTCTAAATAAATACCTCGTTCTATAGCCACCCATCTGCTGAATGCTGCCATAAGATCTCTCTTCAACAAAGTCACATATCAGGTTTCCAGCGCAGTTAGCGGTGAGCAGTGCAAACTGGAGCTGGGTCTCTTGGGCAAGCGCATACAAAAGGCCGACGTGCAACACATTGAAGATCTGATCAAGTGAGTTTCAGTGGACTACTTGTTTTTACATATATGCAACTAATTAGCTTCCATATGTAGCCGCGCCATCTGCTCTGCTACGCCCGTCCAAGTGCAGGAACTCAGCGCAGCTGATGTGCTGCAGCAGAACGATATAACCATGGTGCCTGGGGAGGTGTATCCGGAGCAAGGACTGCGTCTTATTAAAGTGCAATGTCCGGAGCTAAGCCTTAGCTCCAAGGAACTGTGCTGCGGTACGCATGTGACCAACACAAAGGAGCTATCCTGTTTCTGCATTGTTAATCTCAAGCAAACAAATAGGGCACGCTTTGCCTTTACAGCCGTAGCTGGCCAGGCGGCAGAGAATGTAAGACAACCTTGAATGATTCTGCATTCGTCTTTCCAAACCTAATAATCCCTCCTCTCCGATAGGTCCTGAAAACAGCAGCGCTATTGCGTCATCGTGTGGATATGCTGGAAAAGCAGTTTAAAACGGACAAGCTGACAAATGCCACGGAGACTGAGCTGCAGACCATTCGCCACAACATGCTGCACTCGGACATTAAGCTGCCATACGCTTTTAAGATGGACACGCTGGACCGCATCAATGAAATACTGCGTAAGCTTAAGGAGACTTCGCGCACAACCCTTAAGTAGGTGTTAAATTGTAGTTATTTGCCAACAACTAATTTGTAATTGTTACAGAGAATTTGTAGAGGTGGAAATGCGAAATGTGCTACTAGAAAAGCCGCTTGACACGCATCCGTACATCTTGCACTTTATTAGCAGCTCGGCGCTGGTGGAAGAGATTCCCCTGCAGCGTGCAACAAAACTATGCACAGATCGTCCGATTCTGGTGGTTAGCATGTGTGATAACATTGTCAAAGCGCGCTGCTGCGTGCCGCAGGTCAGTCAATGAATTATAACTCAAAGTTAACTCTGGTTAATCCTTTCGGACTTACGCTGCAGAACTGCATCAGTGAGCAATTTAACGCCACGCTCTGGCTGCAATCCTTTGCGAAAACGTTTGGCGGTCAAGTGGCCACGCCCAAGGGTCAGAAAGCTGAAATCGTCTGCAACATGAAAGGACGCAAGGTAGACACACAGTTTGAGGAACAATTGGAACAGGCAATGGGCAATGCTCAGGTCTACGCCAAAAGTTATTTGGAGTTTTAACTTGCCATGCCACACGCCCTTAATAGAAAATTGTTAAGCTTAATTGTTATTGTGAGTGGTACTATATTGCAGACTAATAAATGTAAATAAAAACCTTATTCGCTGTCGCTGATTATCACCAGATCCTGTTGCGAGTGCGCCAAACTTGACTCCATTAGTTGCTCAAAGGCATCGGCACCGTCGACGCTTTGATTGAAAAAGTAGCTAACGTTATCTGTTGCCTTGGGCGTTGAGGGCGCAGGGGGTTTCCTAGTAGACTCACTCGCTATGGGCAGGCGATGCTGCTGTTTAAAGCGCTCTACAGGCGTCCTGACCAAATGTGGCACCTTTTTCAGCTCGCCCTTGACCAGCAGATCAAAGCTGTCATCCAGCGAGTAGCGTTTGCTCAACGGCACGCACTCTTCCCTTATTGAGTTATCTCGACGCTTTTGCAGTAGCAAATCTGCATCATCTAACAGTTGACTTTGTTGATTTTGTGCGTCATCCTTGTGCAAACTCAGCTGCGCCAGGCGAAGGCTCAAATCTTCTGCCAACGCCTCATAGTGCAGCATATGACCCGCGTGCTTGGTTACAGCAGGTAGTGCTTGCGGATTGGAGACGATGCCGTTGATAATATCGGACATATCAAACTCACCATCGCTGTCCAAATCGGAAGGCAAATTTTTGTTGAGTGGCGTGGAGCATTGGGTAACTAGCTGACGAGCGGGCTTAACTGGTGTGTCCTTATTTTGTTTAAGAAATTGCTTCATAGTTTTTTGTCCATGATCTACTGGCTCAATTGGCATCTTCATTTTCCTTCGTTTGGGTTTAGAGATAATCTCATCTGTTGCCGCAGCCAAGTCCGAAAGATTCTCAAGAGCACAGAGCGGTGTCTTCTTTTTGCGCATCGCTGTCTTTTTGGGCGGCTTCTCTTTTGATTTCAAAAAGGCAGCCACCAAGTTTGGATATGCAGCCTGCAACATGTCCAATGGTTCAATAGTATAGTATAGTTCCTCCACACCCTTTGGATGCTCCAGCTCAAATTCAGCAATTTGATCGTGCGGTAAAAGCCCATTGAAGCAACCGCGACTGTCTGCCCAACGTAGCTCCAGGCTGGCGACACCTTTCACTGTACGCTTCTTGATGATCTCTTGGGGCTGGACAAGGCACATATCTT